TTATATTCAGACCAGCTATTTGCATGTATAACTGGATCTGGCTTCTCAATTTCAACTTGAAAACAGTCTATTATGCTCTGAACATTACTGTACCTAGCTCTAAATGTGATTGGTGTATTTTTTTGAATGTCTATTGTCTATGTCAGGCTGAAATACAAAATTCTGCAATACATCTGCCATCTTTGGTAAAAATTCTTTGGATATTGCTAATACTAACTCCAAAATCAATAGCTAATCTTTGGTGTTGATCATTGAATTCTCACTTTTTTCAAAGTAATCAGACACTCTTCACAAGAAATGCTTCCCTCTTCACAAATAAGTCCCTGGATTTCCAAGAAACAATCTTGATAAAGTTCTAGTGCATAAATTTCAGTTTCTTTATGACTGGCTTTTGTATGTCTGTCTCTAATCTCCTCAGCAATCTCATCAAGATCAGTTGAACTGTTTAGCTCATATTCCCTTGTAGGAGATGAAAGAGATTCAGATATTGTATATGAACTTGAAAATGAAGATTTCATACAACAACTTGATATGATTCATATTGGTTGGGTACATCATGAAGTTTTATTTTCCATATTTACACCTCTACTTCTGAATGGCCCTTTTATATTAGTCTGAATAACTAGTTCTTCCTCAACCTCAATGATGTCAGGAACTGATATAGATGTATTTGCTACATTTTTGGATGATGAGGGTTCTGCACTTAGTTCTGCATAATCTGATAGCTGTATTTTTCGTTTCTTCCAAACATTTTCCAGCAACTCTGCTTTCCTTTCATTTCCCTTATCAGTCAGTACACTTCTTTTGTATGTGGGTGGCGGTACATTCAAGAACTTGTGTGGCACTGCATGAGGTTTCAGCTTCCAATGATTTTGGAAAACATGCAATTAACTGCATTGTCTTCAAGCTGGAATATCGGAAAGTGACAAGGATATCTCATTTCACAATGGGAACCCACATTGAAATGATCCTCACAGCATTAGAGGTCATGTCCTGAAATAAATTCCAGATGCACTGCCAGTTTTTCCTGCGTTGGGTACTAGCCAGGACGGTCGAAAACAGTTTTTCAGACGAATTCTCACTACTATTTTGACAAATCGGTATAAAATATACGACTACCATAGGTTAGGTTAGTGGGTTATACGCAATCTTCTTCTCCAATTTTAGTATCATTACCAAAATATTCATCTCACATATTTTGATAAATGACAATCAGAAATATGTTTGCACTTGTCTAAGAGAGAGAGAATGGATATGTATGTCGAATCTTATATGAATTGTTCACCGGCTGCCTACGTCACGCGCTTTCCCGCGTTTTTCATGTTACGAAATATGGTGTATTTCAATAATTATTTAAAAAATGTACAGAGCTCTGGGGAAAAAACGGTTTGCGACAGTGAACTAATTAGGGTTAGTACTTCGAAATAATGAAATAAAATTTTTCACTGAAACAGGCCCATTCTTGAGTTTCAGTAAGACAATTTAATGAATGCGTACATTGCTGATGGATTTTTCTACTCCAAATCACAACATTTCCACAGATTCGCTACTATTCTGATAGCGCAAGATTGAGAAAGAGAGACATAAACGCCATCAAAGATTCATTCACAATTCTGGTTGTCATGGTTTCAAATTGTTAGGTTCCGTTTCGTCACTGGAAAACTTGCAGCAAAGTTTTTTCGCTGTTATAATGACAAAATCACAGCGGTTTATGGGATTTTTCATACATGAATTAAATTGTCAATAAGCTATAACATTTAGGTACCTACTTTTGAATTATCCTCATTTATGATTGGAAGCCTTCTCTTGGATGATCCAGCAGCCAATTTTCCATTTGGAAGTCTATCTTTCCTGATGATTGAACACGATGAACTGGAAATAGTTTCCAACATCATCTCTTTATCAGATGAACAATTTGTTGAAGAAACATTTTCCTGAAAAAAAAATCCATTCATCTTATTGGGTAACTTATCTGTATTGCAAACATATTTCCACATAACTCAATGAATAAATCAATATACAGAGTGTCCACCTCAAGGACTTGTTATAGTGCAAAATGTAACCAGTAACAAACGCATTTTGTATAGAAAACAAGCCGCTTTGTACACTTGCTCCCAAGATACCGAGTTCGTCCCGCATAATAATGATAATATAAATGAAGCTACATCCTTTTTGCTTTCTGATAATCAGAAGTGCCCTAGAATTCGTCATGTTGGTCAATTGGTCCTTTGCAGAGAGGGATTATTGTCACCAAAGCCGGTACACTCCCCTCGCAAGGGTACATGACGTGTTTTCGTGCGGGAAAAGTTGACCGTTTCGTTATACTGTCGTACAATATATTCCTGAGAATGGTCCATGTACATCTCACTACCTGAAATACACCTCTATAAAGTTAGCAAAGCCACTTGCATGAAAATCGATAAAAACTATGCCATTAATTGTCGAATGATTGTCGAGAATTTGTCGTGAAGAAAAAAAAATTGTCGCGCTCTTAGTTTTTTTTATATGGGGTGGCTCTGCTAACTTTATATTAAGTTAGCAGTGCCACTAGAATAAATCGACAACTGAAAATCAAATATCGCAACTGTTGTTATCAATAATTGTCGAGTAATTGTCGAAGTCCATCTAACACAAAAAAATGCGAAAAAAGTGTTTTTTTAACGCATATATTTACATTTTTAGTGAAATTTCCTGGAATCCGTGGAAATTTCCAGTATTTGGCAACACCGCATTCTTATTTCGACCTCCTACATCATTTTCAGTGACATAATTGATAGATATCTATATATGTTTCATTTTCTCTCTTCTATAGATCAGATAAAAATCATTGTAAATGATGAATAAAAGAAGAAAAAAAGTCACCCATGTGAATTGTTGATTTCTATTTACATTTAGGAAATCCCATAACTTTTATAGGGTGGCAAAAACTATTTGTCGCTTGACCTGTTGGTACGAAAAATTGTCGACTCATTGTCGACTCATTGTCGAAGTCTATTTAACGTAAAAAAATCAACAAAAAATTGTTTATAGCTCTGTTATATTCATTGGACTTTCTGGAAACTGATGTGTAAAATCCTTAGTTCATTATTCTCCGCTTTGAAATTCATTGAGCAATTGTCGAATGACCTAAACATATTTGTCGTGAAGGAAAAAAAATTGTCGCGCTCTTAGTTTTTTTTATATGGGGTGGCTCTGCTAACTTTATATTAAGTTAGCAGTGCCACTAGAATAAATCGACAACTGAACATCAAATATCGCAACTGTTGTTATCAATAATTGTCGAGTAATTGTCGAAGTCCATCTAACATAAAATAAATGCAAAAAAGTATTTTTTAACGCGTATGTATACATTTTTAGTGACTTTTCCTGTTATCAGTGAAAACTGATGTGTAAAATCTTTAGTTTATTATTCTCCGCTCTGAAATTCATTGAGCAATTGTCGAATGACCTAAACATATTTGTCGTGAAGAAAAAAAAATTGTCGCGCTCTTAGTTTTTTTTATATGGGGTGGCTCTGCTAACTTTATATTAAGTTAGCAGTGCCACTACTGCCACTAGAATAAATCGACAACTGAACATCAAATATCGCAACTGTTGTTATCAATAATTGTCGAGTAATTGTCGAAGTCCATCTAACATAAAATAAATGCAAAAAAAGTATTTTTTAAAGCGTATGTATACATTTTTAGTGACTTCCTGTTATCAGTGAAAACTGATGTGTAAAATCTTTAGTTTATTATTCTCCGCTTTGAAATTCATTGAGCAATTGTCGAATGACCTAAACATATTTGTCGTGAAGAAAAAAAAATTGTCGCGCTCTTAGTTTTTTTTTTATATGGGGTGGCTCTGCTAACTTTATATTAAGTTAGCAGTGTCACTAGAATAAATCGACAACTGAACATCAAATATCGCAACTGTTGTTATCAATAATTGTCGAGTAATTGTCGAAGTCCATCTAACACAAAAAAATGCGAAAAAGGTATTTTTTAACGCGTATGTATACATTTTTAGTGAAATTTCCTGGAATCCGTGGAATTTGATGTGTAAAATCTTTAATTTATTATTCTCCGCTCTGAAATTCATCAAACAATTGTCGAATGACCTAAACATATTTGTCGTGAAGAAAAAAAAATTGTCGCGCTCCTAGTTTTTTTTATATGGGGTGGCTCTGCTAACTTTATATTAAGTTAGCAGTGCCACTAGAATAAATCGACAACTGAACATCAAATATCGCAACTGTTGTTATCAATAATTGTTGAGTAATTGTTGAGTAATTAACACAAAAAAATGCAAAAAAAGTATTTTTTAACGCGTATATATACATTTTTAGTGAAATTTCCTGGAATCCGTGGAATTTGATGTGTAAAATCTTTAGTTCGTTATTCTCCGCTCTAAAATTCATCAAACAATTGTCAAATGACCTAAACATATCTGTCGTGAAGGAATCAATATTCTCAGCAATCACCTATGCGTAAACCCTTAAATTAACCCTTAAAATCTACTCCTGCGTGCAGAGTGCACGTTGCACTTTGAAGAAGCTGATGTTCAGCGAAACAATTGTCGTGTGTGTTATGTTTTTGTGAAAATTTACACTCAGGTGAGTCTTTCCTCATTTCATTATGAATTTTCATCAAGTAAATAAAGTCGAATCCATTCAATATCTGATCATCGATCTGATCTGATCAGGTTGGTCATTCATTTCCTGAATATTCTAAAGTAATAAGCTTTCGCAATGGAAAACTATAATTGTTTCAAAATCGCGCAGTAATGAATTTTCTGATGGAATGGGCCTAAATAATATATTGCATGTGATCATCTTAACAGTTTTGAATTTATTTATCATCTCTCAATTTTCGAAATATAAAATGACTGTTGAGTTGCTAATAGTCTTTGGTGATGCAGCTATTTTACATTTTTATAAAATCAACATTTTATAACTGAATACGACTTCGATTTTCATTTTACTTTATATTTTACAATAGACCAATATTTCAGGATACACTTTCAAATTTTGTGAAGATCTTTCTGCTTTTTCCTTCAGGTCATCGTATACCATCCAGCACGTTCCCCTTTTGCAGTAAGCAATATAATGGCCTGGAATTGGAGTTCGTGTAAGCATTTTCGGGCCAACATAATGAATGACACCCATGAGATGGTAGGTTTCATTTGATTTATTGATGAACGAATTGCTTATTGAGTCTATGGGTATTTTATCCTCCTGCCCATATACTTCGAACAATACGATGTCTCCTGGAACATAAAATATTCTTTGTATTTTTTTTTCACGTCAATATCGGTCAATGAAAATTTGAATGTATACAATTTTCCAAACAATTTCTTTAGTTCAGACACTGCCAGAAGATCTTTCATCATCAGTGTTTGGTTACAAGAAGACCTTTTAAAGGTGTGAAAATCTTATATTTAATTTAGTGGAACTATAACAAAAATGGAAGAAAAAATGTTTATACAAAACACATTTTTGCGAAAGACAATAATATAGGAATTTGCTCCGGAATTTGATTCTGAACAAGCATGTTGACTTGACAATCCGACTGTAAGCTTTCCCTTCTCCCTTTGATATTCTTCATATTCGAATGTCATCTCAAAGTTGAATAAAAAATATGAACTTACCCATTTCCAATGAAACTGATTGATATGTTTCGCAATTGTTTTTACATCTTTTTTCCTTTGTTGCGATAGTTTCTATGAAGGTCTGTAAATTTTCTTTCAGTAATCTCGCATGCCAACCATATGTTGCGTACTCGATTTTTCGATAACACCCATCTTCACATTGACGAATTTCTATGAAACTTGGATGAGTTTTAAATATTTTGGCAGCTAGAGAGCTCGCACTTGTTGTGCAGTTGATTTCATGTGTGGTATTATCTTTTATTTCTTCTCCAAATAAGTGACAAATTATCTCAGCCCTTCTCTTATAAGTCTTTTGACTTATACCATGTTCCACAGTGTCATACACAAGATCAAAAAAATTATTTTGATATCTATGGATATTCATGAATTTTTTTATATTGTCATTGTCACTCATTGCCGCCATTAATATTTGGGTGATGCTGTCAAACGCACAGGTGTTTGTGAGTGACACTTCTGAATTTCCAATTTTGATTAGGCGTAAAGATGAAATTGTTCCATTTTTTAGACATGGTAATTTACAGTATTTTTTGAAAGACATTGCGTCTAGGAACTCTGCTGTGTTTTTATTCAGATATCGGGATTTTTTGGAAATTTTCGGCGATCCGCCCTTTCCTTTCCAATTATCAATTTTTTGAGTTGCAAGGCGGTCGTCTTTTCTCGAATTTTGGAAGCATTCGAGGCATAGTTTCATTTCACCTTCCTCTTCTGTTTGAGATACCGTGCATTCGGAACACATTATGCGTTTACAAATTACACAAACTTGTTCATTATTCGATTTTTTTTCACAATATTCGCAAACGAATTCTTGATTCATTTCTGAGGACAAATCTTGAAGTGGTTTCCTTCTCCGAATCGATTCTTCTGGTACGTAAGATTCGCATTTGGAACCAGAAAAATTTTCTTTTTCAATGCTTCCACTTGGACAATGCGTATCATTTTTTGTAGAACTGATTGGAGAAAGTTCATCTTTGAAAATATCTCTGGATCTGCTACTATTGAATTTTTGTGCAATCTCATAAGCAGTTGTGCTATTAAGAGAAACAACTGGGAAATCTAAAGAAAATTCTTTTTCAATTTCGAAATTACTTGGTGTGGCGTCATCTGAAACATCTATTTTCTTTGGTCGCCGAGGTGACTCCATAGTTGATTTTATTTCAATATTGATATTTTCGTTCGTAGGATTTGATTTAGCTTCGAATATTTTCAATTTCCCATCAATGTATTCCAAAAATGTTCTTACTGCGACATCTACACGTAATATCCGCTTGCAGAGAATTCGATTTTTAATAATATTGAATTCTGCCTCTACAGGAGCACTACTGGCAGGAATTCGCCCATAACCAAAATCATCTCGGCAAATGCAACTCCAAAGAGGAATTGTTGCCATTTTTTTCATGAGACGTTCGGCAAAGGCGGGAAAATATCTGGGATTATAATCATCTCCATTTTCGTACTCTAATTTTCTTTCAACCTCATTCCTAATATCATTGCCCCACTGCTGCCATTGATTCGCGACCAAATTTGACAATTGAGGTTCGTCTTCATCTTCTCCCTCTTCTGTTGCCTCTTCGATGTCTTTTTCAGAATCTTCAATTGTCTTGCTTATTATTTCCTCAACTTCTTCTTCTTGACAAGTGTTGCCAAGAACAAGGGACTTAATTGTATGGAGAGATTCATTTAAAGAGGTTGCACCTACACCCGCTTTTTCAGAAAGGGAAACTGTCAATAGTGCAGTAATTAAGCACTTGGCAGAATCTCTGTCACGACAAAGAATCAATTGGCCAATAGCACACAAGTAGAATTTTTTTTTCCATTTTTCTTTACTTTCTTTACTGAAGAAATTTACCCAACTCTTGATGTAATGTGCCACGTCAGTTCTTATGTATGTTTTGGGAAAATCTGTTTTACCAGTATTGAAACACCTGTTTGCATATTTTGTTATATTGAAATCCCCTGAGAATATCAAAGCACATGCGTTTTCAAGTGCTTTCGATTCGTCGATAGTCTGTAAAAAAAATTTATATGAATTTTTCATATACCAGTGTGCCGAAGATAAGGATGAACTTCATGAATCTTGGTTTCCGTAATAGTTACACAGTAGGTTAAAAATAGGCCTTATAGGAAAGAAGTTGTGCAATTAAATATTTTTTCTAAATGAACATAAGAAAACAAATTGCGCCGAACGTCTAATCGTTAACAATAAAAAATGGTATGTCATACATGGTGTACTTTATATCGTGTCATATACTATATAAAAAAAGTTGATGGTTTCTTCGAAACGAAACGTTAAATGGAGATTTTGTGAACGCCATTCTGTAGAGCTAAAAAAGTGGAGAAAGTGTCTTTGATTTCTTCAAAACTTTTCAAATAACTTCAGAAAAAAATAAAAACCAAATCGCCAATTTTTTTTTTTCGAATAGTTCCGGAAGTAAACAACAATTTTGGGATTTTTCAACATATTTTCATAAACCCCTTAAATGCGCCACTTTTTGTCCATTTGACTTTTATGGTTACCGAGATACACCCATGTTGCCTTATCTTGGACACACGTATTTCTAATTATTTCTTCCTTACCACTTGTCGAGGAAATTCCATTCCACATCTTATTGTTCCCAATAACCATTTACTTATGGATGCCATGTCATGTGACTCTGAGAATTGTGATGTTACAGAAAATTGTTGATTTCTACAGTATGCCACTGCATTATATAAAAAAATGTGTTTTGAAACACGTCCATCAACATGAACAATTTTCTTCGCAACCCCACCAGTTGCATCGATACTCAAGTTTGTTTCGCATATTCTATTCATTTTGTTGAATACACGAATTTGGTGTGCCGATGCAATCGTGACATGGAATGGGTCATACCCGATTTCACGTATCACGTTCTGTCCAACAGAACTTTTTTTCAAAATTGCAATGGCCTTGATTGGGTCTTGGTCCAGATACTGCATTCGAATGCATTCATGTTTTGCAACCCTCAAAACATCTGCATTATACAAATGCGGTGGCTCCACAGAAATCCCCTTATCCATCATTTCACTGGCTACTCTGTGTCTCCATTTAACCGTTGATTCGGTTTGCAGGTCTTTCGCTATTTTTTTTCTGAGATTCCCTCGTAGTTGGCGTTTTCCACATTTTCCTTTGCCTTCAGAAATCGAACATTCTATTTTGCGAATAGCTTTATCAACATCTGATGGGGGTAGTACCTTGCAAATGACCGTACTTCCACATTTGCATAAACCTAAGAATGGTAATGATTTTGTCTAATTATTTAGATATACAGGGTGACATTTCGGAAACTTCCCACCCTCAATATCTACATTCCAGTAAATAATATGAAAAATTGAAAAGACTGGTCAATTTTATTTTGAGGGGGACACGTTGAATGGATATTTTCAACCCCAATGGTTCAACCCCCTAGGAGGGGTAGGTGTTACCCTCAGAATCTTAAATGGGAAGGGGGGTCAAGTGGCACATCATTTTGAAGGACGGCCAATTCTCTATTCAACGGTACCTTATAGTTTATCGGTCTAGCGGGAATGATAACAGAGATATAGTGTGTTGAAAATCGAGATTTTTCAGCTTCACGATTTTTTTCTGTTGAAACTATTAATTATTGGTTAAAACGGCTTACATGTCCCTATCTTAACTTTTGAATCACTATCTACTGGTATTTAATTGAAACAAATACAAGGTGGTTCAGAATTCTGTATTCCGCACCACCCTGAATATCTGAAAAATATGCTATGAGAAATCCCTTCAAAAACGCATGGGATGTAAAAAATATTATATTATCAAAAAGAGCACCAGAAAATCATATATTCCGCGATGATGAAAGCGCTCCACGCTTTTAGTCATACTCTTCATTTTTGGATCATCATCAGGAAAAAAATAGTAGATTGTTTTATTAGGATCAAACATGCTATTTTTTCTGCAACCGAAAGAATAAACACCTAACTAAAATAAATATAAATGAAGTAACCGCCAATGTGACTCACTTGACAGATTATTATAATAATATCATGAGTAGGAGTTGATAGTTCAACTTTAGCTCCTAGGAACTAAAAGTGTTGTCTAGCAACATAGTGTTGCCTAGGAACATTCCTATTTTTGTGTTAGTAAACGTCAACTTCTAGAGCTGATTTTTGAACAAAAATGGATGACTTTTGAGTCGATTGCAGAAATAATATTTTTCTTTTTTAGTGCATTTAAAAATATAAGAGTGGTTTTAATAATAATAATAAAAGTCCTTTATTGGTAAAATTTACCAAATGGCAATCGACCGAAGTCCTTCAGCCGTGGTTTTATCATTTTTTTTATATTTTATTTTCTACTTTATAGTCTATTAAATCAAGGATTTTCTAAATTTTTCAATCTCTCAAAACCTTCCGCCATTTTGAAGACACCATCTTGAATTTGTAAATGTTGACAATGAATTCATGATTCCCGACCCCGAAACCCCTACATACCAAATTTGAATATAATCGGACCATAATCTCAGAACGTCTCAAAACTTGTACGCCATTTTTGATTTTCTAATTTTGACAAAAGAATCATCATCTCCGACCCCGAAAACCCCCAGATATCAATTTTGAATAGAATCGGATCATAATTACAAAACTTATCCGCCATTTTGAATCCGCCATTTTGTTTTTACCTCTAATAAAAATTTCATAATGGAATGTCACTGGAATTATGTACGTTAATCAGCAATATCGATAAATTATATTTTTTATTGATGTATCGTTATTTTTTCCTGGCAAGCTTCTAATGAACTCACCTTTGAAAACACCATAGTCTGCCTGCCTGGTCAAATAATGGTTTTTAAAATGATATCCATGATTGAGTCGGTAATCATCATAAATTTTTTTGGATACTATTTCAGTCCATTTACTTGGTTGAAATATTGTAATTCGACGTTCTCCTATCTTTCCTTTCATGGTTTTCCTCGCATATACTCTTTCAGTCAAGAGACTTTCGAATTTGGATGTCTTGATAGAGAGAATGAAGTTGAAGGAATTTCCGAGGGAATTTCTCATGGAATTTCGATTCGATTCAGACGATTCACACTCGTTTAGGGATACCTCATATTCCTGATCAGCATCCAGCGTTGCTGTGTCTGTGAGCAAACTTTTCAAATGATACCGATTACCCACACACATCGAGTGAAGAGATGTCGCCTTAATTTTATTGTCTAAACCAGCTTCAATCACTTTCCAAACAGCCGCTGTTGCCCGCGCAATCTCGTTGTTGAAAACAAGTTCATGTTTATGTTTAAGAATAGTCTCCACCAAAATGTTGCGAGGAACTAAGGGCCTTTTTCCAGGAACAAGTTTTTCCATTATTGAATTAACGAGAATCACCAAGAGTCTTTCACTGAAATAATAACTAACACCACGAGAATCTGAATTGAATTGCATTCGACTGAACAAAACGCACCCTAATAAGTACACCACAGTAAGACAATACTATGATGACTGACCTGTGATCTACTAATATTAGTGATATTCCCGCTTTGGCGCCTTTGGGAATATCACGTGCCCCGTGTTGTCACGTGGTCAAGTGATGTCTACAGTCTGTCCAGCGAATAAGTTAACGCATCGGGTAAACTTAGTTTGGAGTGGATTTGATAATGTTGATATACCTACGATCCAGATAGTTCATAGGGAAAAGCTAAATTATTAAAAGGTATTCAGTTCGGCCATGTTCGGCAATGTTTCTTTCATAACAAATAAAATGATTTCCTGGAGGACTCTTATTATCCAGGTTATCTCAAGATGATCCAATATGACTATACAAATTTGAAATGTTTTTTAACACGCTTATATTCAATCTGTTGTTGGTGATAAAAAAATGTCAGTCAAATCTTGTAACCAATTTTTAGACCACATCTAATCGTCCGATTGATTTGTAATTTGGCAGGTGTACATAATTCCGGTGACAATGCATTATGGCATTTTTGTTAGAGAAAAAAAACAGAATGGCGGCTCCAATATGGCGGTCGAGGTTTGTAATTATAAGCCGATTCTATTCAAAATTGGTTTCTAGGGGTTTTTGAGGTCAAAGATGATGGTTCTTCTGTCGAAATTGAAACATTCAAGATGGCGGCTCCAATATGGAAGACGAGTTTCGTAACTATGATCCGATTCTATTGAAATTTGGTATCTGGATATTTTCGGGGTCAGAGATGATGGTTCTTCTGTCAAAATTGAAAAATTCAAGATGGCGGCTCCAATATGGCGAACGAGTTCTGTAATTATGATCCGATTCTATTCAGAATTGGTTTCTGAGGTTTTCGAGGTCGGAGATTATGATTCTTCCTTCAAAATCGAGAAATTCCAGATGGCCGCTCCAATATGGCGGATGGGCTATGTGATTATGGACGATATCAATTATTATGTCACTGAAAATAATGTAAGAGGTCGAAATATGAATGCGGTGGTACCAAATAATGGAAATTTCCACGGATTCCAAGAAATTTCACTGAGAATGTACGCGTTAAAAAATACTTTTTTTATGTTAGATGAACTTCAACATTTACTCGACAATTATTGATAACAATAGTTGCTATATTTTTGATGTTCAGTTGTCGATTTATTCTAGTGGCACTGCTAACTTAATATAAAGTTAGCAGAGCCACCCCATATAAAAAAAAAACTAGGAGCGCGACAATTTTTTTTTTCTTCACGACAAATATGTTTAGGTTATTCGACAATTGTTTGATGAATTTCAGAGCGGAGAAAATCAAATTAAAGATTTTACACATCAGTTTCCAGAAAGTCCAATGAATATAACAGAGCTATAAACAATTTTTTGTTGATTTTTTTACGTTAAATAGACTTCGACAATGAGTCGACAATTTTTCGTACCAACAGGTCAAGCGACAAATAGTTTTTGCCACCCTATAAAAGTTATGGGATTTCCTAAATGTAAATAGAAATCAACAATTTACATGGGTGACTTTTTTTCTTCTTTTATTCATCATTTACAATGATTTTTAT